CTTGGCTACCAGTAACAGAATAATGCCAAAAAACTTTATACAGCACTATAAAATAGGCTTTAAAAGCACCTTCAAAAAAGTTTCCAAAGCCATCTAAGGCTGTTTTGTCAAATATGTAGTCACACTTAATAAACAGGGAACAAATGAATGGTAGTTTGTTTAGTGCAGATTACTTCATTTTGCTGTCCAAGCTCCCTATCATCTCACAGAACACTGCAGTTCCCACTAACTCATTTTTAAACTGACGCAGAAATAAGATTTACCTGCAGAAGGTTATTGAGCATGCCAAGAGTACTTTCTGCAAGAACAGTGATGTGAAAGAAGGCTTAAGCCTTTTCTCTCCCGTAGCTTTAATCATGTAAGTTGCCCTCTGACATCTGCCATAACCTATTATATCGTACTGCTGATGCTAGTAAATGCTAACCTAAAATTCACTGGTAGGTGAAGTGACATACTGCACAGCCTCAAGGCTCACCTCCTTCAGGAGAGAAAGTCTGAGTATATCACTAAGTATTTTATAGCACTAGCTGTTCCTGAGGGAAGTATTTTATTTTTTATTTGCTTTATGGTTGTAAGTTAGGCTATTTCCAGAACCTACATAGCTAGTGAAGGTCATTAAGTAAGTTATACTAGAATTTAAGTTACACTAGAATTTAACAGAGACTTTGAAAGGTTAAGAAAAATGTAGCAGTCAGTGGTTACTAGAATATTTTCAATTTCTCTTCAGTAAATTAAGTCCAACCTGATGATAGACTTTTAAATGTTTAATTACATAATTAAAAAACTAGGATGTGAATGCTGACTTCTGAAGAATGTGGATTAAGTACTTTTGCTTTTCATCTTCCATTCTTCACAATCTGAAGAAAAAAAAGCAACTAGAGTGGGATAGTAATAGAGTTCGTAATGAGGCACACCACAAATTGTAACCAAAATTTGAAATGTGGCTAAAAATAATAATATCCATAGCATTTGGGTTTGGCTTTTTTTGTGTGTGTGTGTTTTTTGTTTTGTTTGGTTGTTGTTTTTTTTTTCTTCAATACAAGCCAAACTGACAATGCCGGGCACTTGTGTCAAGTCACAGGCATCGAGATTCCATGCTATGACTTCCTGATTGAAGGAACTATTCTGAGGTCTCCATCCTCACAAGTTAACACCCCCTCACTGCTGTCACAGCAATGTGACAAAGAACCATGCTAAGTGTGCTCTGACTCGGCTGTGGAACATGCCAGTTCCAAAGTCTGCTTCTCCCAGAAATATCTGAAATACGTATGCATGGTCAGAAAAATATTTGCAGTTAAAAATGCTTTCTTGCTTAGGTGGTTAAAAAACAGTCTTCCCTTGGAAAGCAAATTTATCTAGATCAGTTTAACAGTGCTTTACTGCACTTTTTCCCTATCCTAAGCCACTTTTGAGAAGAACAGAGCAGAGCTTTGGAGAGCTGGGAATTTATATACAGAATATACTTTAGACATGTTAATCCCCAGAACAACATCACTAGTCTTTACCTCATCTTCATTGCGGATATTGCACTGTATGGGAGTCACTTTGGCAGGACTGATGGAAGAAAATTTATTAGTCAGTTCTTCTGCAGCAGCTTTTAATCGGTCAAATTTACGAGAGGCAATAACAACATTGCAACCTGTAGAGACAAAATGAAACATCTTTCAGGTAACATAGTTAAAGTTACAGTTATGCTGGGCTTTTTTAATAACATTGTGGAGGTATCTTGTAGGATGCAAGTTTATTAGTCACTGTCTAGAAGATACAGTCTTGAAATTCTTGCAAGAGAAGTTACTGATGTCAGGTGCTTCTTATCAACAAGATCCCACTGTGCCAGGAGAAGAGCAATCAAAAAAATGTCTACAAGGTTTCCTGTCCTTCCTGCAGAAGGGAAGATAGGCTGTGAATTGCAGAGTCGGCAAACCAGCTCTTAGTTATCACTTCTGCTGCCTCTGCTCACAGCTGCGTTTATCAATTACATGAATTAAAGATGTTTCAGCAGGTCTTGATCACAAACAACCACTTGCTCCTAAAACCACAAAAAATAATCTTACTGCATGTCTGGGTGTAATTTGGACTAGCAGTGAGAAAATACTTTTTAACACTACAGAGACTGAAGGGAAGGATGACAGCCTCACAAGATTAATTCCTATCTGCAGACTATAGACAGCAAGAACAGAGACTTCCCTCTGGCATCACCACACACTGCAGAATCCTAGCTCAGAAAGGAGAAGAAAAAAAAGGCAGGAGCTCAAGTCTTCTGTTGTTTTTTATTTCAGCATTTGGAGGCAGGAGGATTCATTCTACAGAGAAAAACAATGCAGCTGCCAAATTAATGGCAAGCACTTACACTACAACCAGTCTAGTTTCTCTGTCACACCAGTGAACTCAGGACAGCTTTCAGGTTTCAGCAATTGCTACTACACAGACAAAAGCAGAGCACACCAAATTAATTCCTAATGCAAATCCAGTAGGCATACAATTTTGTATTATGGATAAGCAAATTACTAGCTTCTACTGCCAAGCAGGCAAGGACATCTTGCTCCCAGTTCCCTCCTTCCATAGTCTCAGAAGCCCAGCAGAAGCCATCCAGCAGCTCTGCTGCTCACCTGCTTCAACATAGACCAATTCAACACCCTCAACCAGCCAAAACCACAAAAAAAAAATAACATATTGACAGGTGGGTTGGTGGGGTTTTGGGGGGTTGTTTTTTGGTTGTTTTCTTTTTTTGTGTTGGTTGGTTGTTTTTTTTTTGTTATTGCTGTTGCTATTTTGCTGAGCAGAATTTGGCCTCTCATGATCAAAAAACCACGAGAATCAGCTCAAAATAACTAGTAGGTGTAAAGAGCAGCAAGCTGTTCATTTGGCTCAGGCTGTTTTGTAAAACTATACATAAAAGTAAATAAATAAAGGAGTTTAATTCTTCCAGAAGGAAGTGCTGTAACTACATATCCCTAGGAATGGGAGCTTCAGCTTCAATCAGTGGCCATTTAAAACAACACACGTAAAGATTAGTCTCTGACATCTCCTGATTTTTAAATTAAGAACTCCAATCACTTGTACAACCACCTGATTAACGCAGAGCTCATAAACTGGCACACACAATTAACAATTAACACAAAATACTAAATCATAGTAGCACAGTTATATTTACCAACTTAAGCGCTTATTAATACACACACTGATAGTGAGTAAGGTCCAGTAAAAGACTATCGTTTTGCTAAATAACTGGTGGATGGGGAGATTCTAACTCACTGAGGTACACTTGGTACTTACTATACAAACTTCACCTATTTTAATTCACAAAGAATAACCAGGCCATTTCCTGATAAAGTCAGGGGAGAAAGAGCACAGTTTTCCAGATAGAAGGTTTAAACCTGTACATAAGGCTTCATACAAGACTGCTTGTAAAAGCAAACTACATCACGACTGACATTATCTGTCACTGCTTCTACAGGCATTTTCTGTCCATCCAGCACTCCTCCAAAATGATACAACCTACAGTGCAAAGTATACATGGAAATAATTCCTGGTTGTTTTCTTGTCAGGAGTAGCCAGCAAAACTGCAGGTAAACACAGTTACACAGATGAACTTCAGCCATAGTTCTTTCTTCATTTTCTCACATATGATTTGTAGCCTTGTTTTCTATTTAGGATGTTATGGATATATGCTTCTGTTACTTTGTTTGAGAAAAATAATGCAGATCAAATTAAGTACAATTTTAAGGTAACTGTGTAACTTCATCGAACAACACGATGATGCCTAAAAAGCACCTCTTCAAGGCAGCATGTCCTTACAGCTTAAAAAAGCTGCTTAGTTCACCAGTAATACAAAGGTAGCACAACTAGTCCTCACTTCATCTCCACTGAATATGTGGAAATCTGTGATAAAGGCCAGGAGAGGCAAAGATGCCTCCCAGCAGTCTTAACCAAGAAAGCTCTTTACTACCCACCAAAATAGCACAGTGCTCATTCCAAGAGCACAAACCACAGGGAGTATGGCATAATAGCGCTGGTAATCCGAAGAGAGCTAATCAACAGTGGTAACACATGTTATCTGAAACAAGCCTGATGCCAATGATCCCTAGCAATTACACTGAAACCTGCAGAAAAGGTGTTGCAAGGTAGATTACTCAGAAGATTGCCTTTCACTCCAGACTCTACCATTTCTCTACAATCAATATGGTAAGAAAACCCACAAAGCGGCTAAGATTAACTTCAGGACATTTCTGTCACAAGCACCGAGTGAGAAGCACCATTTCTCTTAAGCTGCCCATGCAGACAACAGTTCAAAACTATATTACTCCATAAGATTCAGTTTAACAACCAAGTAAATCCTCCAGTTGAGCAAGATGAAAACTCGGTTAAGAGAAAATATGAAAGGGTCCGAGCTTAATATAGCTTCACTTTGACCACTCTAGTTTAGAATAATGTCTCCTTTTAAGTGCAAGCAGGTCAAAAGATACAATCCCACATCAACCTCATCCCGTCCTCACTGTTCACTGACTCCTGTCACAACATCCCACTCACAAACTCCTCAGCCGCTTCCGAGCGCTGCCCACCCCCAAAACGCAACACAATCCCCCGAGCCTTCTCCTTCAAACTCCATCCCCCGCCTTCACCTCACTCCCGGCCCCCGCTCCCCCGACACCCACCTTGCCCCGCTACCCCACCGGGTCTCCTAGCGGACCCTCCCCGTGCCCACCTAACGCCAGCAAGTCGGCGGCAATGGCCTTGCCAATGCCGGTGCCGCCGCCAGTGACGATGGCCACCCGCCTGCGGAACAGTCCGGCCGCCAGCAGCCCGTGCGTCCCCGCCATCTTCCCCTTCTCTCACACAGCGCCTCGCACAACAGCCACGGCCGCCACGGCCACCACCCCCGCCACGTGACACGCGGCCCCGCCCGCCCCGGGTGCGCGGAGCACGGTGCTGCCTGAGAGGTGCTGGAGGTGCCGGGGGTTGTGGCAGCACGGATCGCCCTGCGGCACAGCATGGCGCGGTACGGAGCCCCGCGGGCGGCAGGTAAGGGGGCGGGAGGTGGGGCAGTTATCCGCGGGTGGGTGGCAACCGGGTTTGTCCCTGCGGTGGAGGGACCGTCGTCCGAGCACCTGGGAGGGGTCGGCTCCTCCTGCTGCCTCGGGGTCGCCTCAGCCTGCTGGAGCCTCGAAGCAAACCCAGCTACCCCCACCCCCGGTCTCGCCTGCTGTACAGGGAGGGGTTCTGGTGTTTTTCTGCACCGTTTCGGGTCACCTTCCGCCGCGACGCGGGAAGACACCGTGAAGAGCAGGGTAACGGAGCCCCAGCCAGGAGGAGACAGCGTAATGCTCTAAAAGTGTCGTAAATAGCAGAGAAAGCCGCTGGTGTTTCCTGTCAGGCAGCCGCGGACGGAGAATCCTGTCTCCAGGCGTGGGCTTTGTGAGGAAGAGGCTGTGAAGGCTGAGGTGGTGCCGTTTACTTGTCCCTAACATAGCCATTGTGTGCTGTCGTGCCTTTTGTTTGTTTTTCCCACTTAAAATCGCCCTCAATAAACTCAGTATTATTCAGTTGGCACAGAAGACAGACAACGTTATTTTCCTGTGTATCCCACAGTGAAGTGACAAAGCATCACTGTACATTGCAGGTGATTTTAACCAGCAGTGATGTGCCTTGGGGCGTGTGTGCGTGTTCAGTATCTTTCCAGCCATCTCCTCTGTCCTTTTCAATAGAAGAGATGTTTGTAACTATATCTCAATTTTGTCCCGTTATTTTTGCCTTAGGGGAGGTGGTTAATCTGAGAAGAGTGAGAAAGTTTGTTTGTTTGGTTGGTTTGGTTTTTATTTTGAAAGACACATGAAACGTGAAAATTATTGAATCGATTTTGTCTTTCTCATTTGTTAAACAAATTTATTTACTTTTCCCAAAACACGTCCTAAAGTTTAATACTGTAAATCAGAGGCAAATGTAAGATTTTCACCCTGGAGTTCAGTGGGTTTCAAAGGAAGCTGTATACCCTCCTTTTAAATGTAGGGAAGAGGATGGATTGAGAAATTGACAGTGTGTCCAGACTCATTCAGCAAAGGATGATAAGACAGGAATAGACTTCTGCATAGTGACTTAGGCCAGTGAGGCAACCATTAGACAAAGTTGCCTTCCAGGTGGCTTAATGTTTGCAGAATACCTTAATATTTTAAAGCATGGTATTACTTTCTGGAGGCAAAATGTGAAGTACTGTGGGTGACACTGCCACAGATCCCCATTAACTGTCTCTGGCTGTCCTACATATCTTAGGCTGTATCACAGTGATCATTAATTAATCCCAGGGAGAAGCACTTATCTGTGCTAGTGAACTAGGTCTTTATCTTCCAACCTGCCTGCCATCCCAACTGAGCTGCAGGTCACCAAGGGAAATCCAGTGGGCCTCTCTTTTCATATGACTTGCTTGATTTCAGTGTTCTTCTTAGAGAGCACTAGCAAATTACTTTTTCTTCCCTATCATAATAGAATCATAGATAAGTTGTTTGTTTTTTTTTGATTTCTCAGTAGCCATAGAAATGTCATAAATAAGGGGCTGAACACATGAGTTAAGGTTCTGTGAATGATGGGTGGGAGGAGAAAAGGGAAAGGCACAAAGACTGGAGAGCAAGGGACTGAGAAAAAAACACATCCATACCTTGGCTTTCAATGGACAGTAGCCCCTTCTGGCACAAAATCTGTGCACAAAGAACAGGGCTGAGATAACCAAGGCTCACAGATGTTTTCAGCAAGGGAATGACTTCCTGTCATATAGGTTGCCTTTGAACCAAGGATTCAAAGTGTACCTTTGTGTGAATTGATTTTACTCCAGTGGTTGAAATTCAAAATTATTTAAGCTGAAAAGAAAAAAATCCTATTAACTAAAATCAGTTTAAATCATCTCCTATGTTTGTACTTTCTTATTTGCAAATGAACGTTTTCTTTTATTGGTAGCATTAAAACATGCTGTTCTGTCACTACACACAGCCACAGTGGTAAATTCAGTAAGTGGAAGGCTCTTCTTACATATTTATGTTATTCTACAAGCTCAATGTTCAAATTCTTAATTTTTATGTGTTAGGAAACTGTCCGATTAGGCAGCTGATTTATTTATTTATTTACTCAGTATGTGTCAGTTTGCATTTGTAAGAAAATAAATCTGCATTTAAAGCTTCAGAGTCTTAATTTTCATTTTTTTGAAGTTAAAAGCTCCCGATTTCCCTCTTCCTACCCCCTTTTGGTGTATCTATCTCTTAAAACATTAACCATTCAAAAATCAAAATGACGTTGTGAAAAAGAATTCATCAATAGTTTTTTTTTTCCAGCTGTCAGCTCCTTTATATTTGTGGGACTACCACATGTCATTCTTCAACATCTACTTTTTTATTTATAAAATGAAAAAGGGAAAAACTAAATTTCCTGGTTTAACAGCTCTCAGATTGTGTCTTGGCTTTGAATGAACTAGTTCAAGTTGTCATGATGAATAGGGAACTCTGCATTTTTAGAAAAAGCTGCTTTATGTCAAAAGCTGATTTTGTGCTTTGCCAGCCTATGGCTTAGCTATTCATCTGATGACATATGCCAGTCCAGTATGCTGCCATGCTTTAAAAACCCTGGCAATGTAATATACTGCAGTAACTCCTTACAGCCCGTTGTTCTTCAGGGCGTCTACGCCCTGCCATAGCTTGTAATCCATGTTGCCAAGGGGAAGGTCAGAGTTGTTAAATACCAGCCTGATGTGAAAAAACAGATTGCTCCAAACAGGAGAGAAACTTCTGTGGGATGCAGACCGCAGCAGAGGTATCCCTGGGGCCAGCAGTCTCACAAGGTGAGAGTAGAAGAAGTTTAAGTAAAAGCATCTCAGTGCCAGAAATAACTCTTTCATGCCAGAGATGACTTATGACAGAAGGTTTCTGCTAGTTAGCCATCAGAAAGAAATTAGGCTTGCACTCCAGCCTCCTCTCCTTTCCCAGAGCCCTACTCTTACAGATGCTTCGGTTTCATATCTTTTTGATGGGATACCAAATTGCATAAAGTGTAACAACAGTAATTTCTCCCTGCCTCCCATATCTATTACAAAAAATGCCTGAATTGAGCCAAAACCAAATGAAAATGGGTGTGAGTATCTCTCCTTACCTTTCTGGACCTTTCTGTGGGATTATGCAGAAAGCCTCTTTGGAAATCCCTACTACTTTCACCTCCTGACTGTGCATTCTCTCCTGTGGCTGTTTTTCCTTTCATCATATCTCACCAGCATCTAAGTGCCTTTCTGTCTTGTGGCATCAGAATGCCTCCTGGCCAGCCCCAGCTGGTGGTCAAGGCTTTCTGGTTGGTTCATCTCTTCAGAGAATTCTCCTCTGGAAGGGTACTTTACTCTCAGTAGTTTCTTGGGGGATTTTAGTCTAAATAGGAGATAATTAGGATTTTCTAACCTTTCATTGTCATCCCTAGGAATTTCATTTCAGTGATTAGAAAAAAGGTGCTACCGAAGACAGACACCCCATTCAAAGCAGAGTTTGTAGATGTTGAAGATGTAGAATATCAGCATCAAACAGGTTGAAACTGATATGTAGACAGGTCTTATTTATAATCATACACCCTGCTAATACTGTACTAATAAAACTGAAGCATTCACTTGTCTGCAATTGAAAGGGCTGTGTTTTTAATACCCTGGCATCATGGATCTGTGTCTGTACTTGTATCAGATCAAGAGTCCCTTGAGCCAACTAATTCCTGCTGCTGGAGAGACTGTCTAAATATCTTAGATTATATTTACTGTGCAATGCATTAAGCAATCTTGAATCACTCCCAGGGGAATCTTCTAGTTCTCTGTGCAGTTTGGCTCATGAGCAACTCCTGGGCTGCAGCCAGGTGTAAGTCTGAAAAAGCTCTGATCTGAAGCCCCCAAATATCTTGTCTAAATAAGAACCACAGGATGTTTTCCTTTTGAACCCTAACTATTCTATGATTTCATGATGTAATTTGGTGGTTGTATTTTTCAGATAATACTTTCCAGGCTGGATTTACAATTGACTGTGTTTCCCATTGGGCTGCATGACTGCAACTTCTTGCTCTCTAGTTGCAGGTAATTCTATGTGTGATCTCTTCTAATTTTGTTTGAGCAAATGATTGGGTTTTTTTTGATCTTGCCAGCACAGAGCAGGGCAGGAAAGGAGAGGAGAAGGAGATAGTCAGGGATCTTTTGAGTATCAAGGGGTGGAAAAAGAGCCTGAAGTGCTAACACAGAGTCCTAGTTTTTAGGTATTGTAAAGGTCAGGCAAGAGTCCAGCTTGTATTAAAACATCCTGGTGAAAGCACTGCATGATTTCCTAAGAAAAGGAGAGAGAGGTCTTGCAATTCCTCCCTGAATTCACCTTCCTACCAGGTCTGTAGCTAGGACTGTGCTGTCTTGCGTTAGTACAAGTGCTTCACACCCAGCACTGGTGCTTCATAGCTCTGCAGTCTTCAGCCATAGCAACTCCCAGTGTTTCTTACTTGTGTGTGTGTGTGTTTAGAAGGTGTTTTCTCTGTGTGTTTAGGTGTTTTCTCTGAGTTCTGAAAGGGGATGTGAGAGGCTCCAAACTCTGTTTTAATGTCCTGTATGCTTGCTGTGTTACTGTCTTCTTGGCATCTACTTGGGTATAGACATTCTACTTGGATGCCTAGAGGAGGCACAACATAGGTTTGATGTACACAGCAAGCCCCTAGTGCATCTTCCCATCGCATTTAATATCAGGCCTTCAAACTGAGGATGAATCAGGTATTATACCAATAAAAATAGATGCAACACTTGATTCCAGCTTAAAGGCACTGCAATGGAGGCAGAATGTTGTGCTTAAGTTGGTGGGACTGACTTCTTTTGGCTGTTCCTATTGTATAGTGTAATCCATCAGTGACCTGGTGGATAGGGGTAGGAATTACAACAGGCACCTGCTATTTCAAGGTGCGGTGTGGCCTGCTTTGGCAAATGAAGAAGTGAGGGGTAAAGCAGGGCAACAGGGGAACGTGCTGTCTCCACTTTATCATTGAGATCTTTTTCTTACAAGATACAGGGACTTCTGTTGATTTTATTCAAGATTCATATCTAAACCATTTGGTTTGCCTTGAAGATTCCAAACCAACCTCCATTTCCAAGTCATTTTCCTTTTAAAGCCTTGGTTCTCTTTAAAGGCTAATGTGGAAGTGCCATTCATTGACATTTTTATATTCATATGACATATAAATTTTATGACATATTTATATGACATATATATTCATTGACATAAATATATATATTTATGCTAATATAATGCTAATAATAAATACAAAGAAACAGATCTCATCCCCGTGAAGGCAGTGGGAAGCTTTGTGTCCTTTGTCTCAATTTCTCTTTTTTCTAGCAGTCTGGACAAAGGAGTGGGAAGGGGAAGGAGAGACAGCAGTTCAGGCTTCCACTCTAAAAAAAGGTAGACCAGTACATTTTGAGGATTTTGAAAAAGTTTGTATGCAAAGAAAATCAGGCATTTAATTTAATATAAAATAGAAATGCACAGCTATTCTTGTATGCTGTTTTCCAGCCTTCAGTAATACTGATCTACACAGCAGTTACTATTCTGTGACATTTGGAAAAGTTACTTAACAGCAGAGGAAAATAAAAATAACTGATTCATAAACCCAGTGCTCTATAAAATGTCCTTGACTTTTAAAAAAATCCTCTGAAAATGTCATCCAGAAACAATTTAGTGATACTTGGAACACCTCTCTCCACTACTTTTTTTGGTTGTTGTTTTGGCTGTATTTGTAGATTATTGTCAGCAAGCGTTTGTGTGTCTCATGGAAAGACACAGGGAGAGCAAGGGGCTTGAGCCACCCAGCGCGGCACTGCGAGCCAGCGAGCTCTTAATCACACCCGAGTGACTCTGCACCTGCAGCTTCAGTAATAGTCTACCTGTGTTGGCCAACACAGGTAGGCCCGTGGGATAGGTCCAGAAGCTGCTCAGCACTGGCACTAATGCCACCTGCTGCCAGGCAAGAGCCCTGTGCTAGTTGATAAATCAGAAGGACTGTGCAAACATGGGACTGTGCTGCTTGCCCCCTCCTCCCTTTGCTTTTAGTTTGAGTTTTTAGAACCCTCTGCTTCTTGGGGGATACATGGGGTGCGGTCTCCATTAGCAAACACCCATGAAGTTTTTTGGTGGCATGAATCATCTTACTGCATTATCTCCTCTGTTCCAGTGCTCAGTGCCATCCTCTACTTTTGGCAGCCCAAAAAGTAGTCCTTGAGGTCTACTTCTGCTTGAGTGGACAGAGCATGGTCTTTTTTCTTGTCTCTCTGACAAATGAAAGTACTTTGAAGCTTGTGGATTAAGCAGGGAGGAAAAGACAGGGGCAATCTATGAGCTTTACTGTTTGCTTTCTCCTACCTTGCTGAGATAGCATAGGCAGATGTTTCTCTTTGTGCCTCTTGCCATTGTTATGCAGGCACTTCATGAAAACTCACAGTGGGCACTGCTATGAGGAGTAGTTTTTCTCCCCCTCCTTAAACATTCTTTCCTCCAAGGGTAGCTGCATGGTGAACCCGATGAGGAAATTCGTCTGGCTGAAAATAACATTTTATTTTCTTTTAAAATGCGAAAGCATTATTTACAGTGAGGCAAATCACTCTGTCAAGCTTACCTCCAGCTGCACAGACCATAGGGAGGGGCTGTTCTTGCTTTCTAACATGTTATTCTTCACAGCTTTGAGGGTTTTTTTTGCTACATTCAAGTGGCTGAGTAATATAGTTTGAGCTATTTCACCATGAATAGAAGAGGAGACATACGTCCTGTGTTTCAGCAGGGTATGGTGAGGACATATATGTGAAAGATCATGTGGAGTCATTTAGGTATTGAGGTGTTGAGGGAGCCCTACTGTTTGGCCCTCCCCAAGCATAAGATCTGAATTAAATGTGCATTCTTACGTAGGTCTTGCCGCATGTTTGTAAGGTCTGGGGTTACATGTCCTGCATTAGACCAGTGCCTTTTTTTATAACATGATTGGTGACAGACAAATCTGTCCTAAACAGCTGGATGTGTCTGCTACCATCTATTTTCCATGTGTACAACCTGCCAGCGGATAACCCCATTAAAAATACTAGGGATTGGAAATAGTCCTTTGGGTAATAGGCATCTTTAGAAACATGTACATCCCCATGCACAAAATCAGAGGTAGGGTTGGGTGCAGACGGGATTGGGGATGGGGAGGCTATGGAGTAAAAGGAACAGGCAAAGGAGGATCTGTGGCTGGGGAGCTCTCTCTCTCAAGGTGTGTCTCTGGGGTGTATTTCCCCTTATCTCTTTCCCGTTCTGGGTAACTCACAATACTTCTAAAGCACAGGTTGTTTTTTTTATTCTGCAGATAACCCCTGCATCATGTGAGTGAAGACACTGCTTGTTCTTACATGTTGTACATTTTATATGACCATTAAAATAAGAATTGATGCTCCTCACTGCTTACTGTCTATGTTTTTTGCTCACATGTCTGCTCTGAGCAGTCATAAAAAGGTTACTTGTGCTGTAGCAGGATTTAAGATCAAGGATTTTTTTTTAGCTTGTGGGAAGGCTCTTCCTTCCTGTCTGTATTCAAACCAGATAATTTCTCTTCTGTTAGCAGCAGGATCAGGCTGTGAAAACCAATGGGAAAAAACCTCCTCTGACCTAAATGGTGCAAGGCCAAACTTTTAGGCTCCTGTTTTGTGTGTCAAAGACTAATACTGTCATGGGAAGCATAAGCAGCAGTAGCTTTCCTTCATAGTAACAGAAGACTATGCTTCTAAAAATTCCTCTACAGAGTGTTTTTGCGGAGCCGCCTCCCCAGGGTCCTCCATCTGTTTTCACATGGATATTAATAACAAATTGTTTGGCTAATAAACTGCTCCCAGCTATCTCTGAAATGTGACCATTTCTTTTCCTTCCCTCCTATGGACAGTTATTAGATTCCTGTCTGCCCCTGTGCTGCCAACATGGGAGACATCACTAGCATTAGGTGCACAGCAATTGCCATGTTTCAGCTCCACAGCAAAGCTTTTAAGGAGTGAAGATCTCGGTGTATGTCCTAAAAGAGCTGGTGCTGTGGACAGCTGTGTGGTGGTGAGGGCTGGTCATGTTCTTATGGGACATAAAGAAAAGGAAGAGAGAAAAAATAAACTTTGTGTACACTACTGTGATTTCTGCAAGAGCCCATTTTTTGTTTGCATCTACAGAGAAAATATTCCCAGGAAAAATGGAACTGAGGCTTGAACCTGCCTGATTCACCAGCAACCCTGTGGGACGTGGGGCTGATGGTGTTATTTCTAAGTGCTGTGTTCAAGCCTGGACCAGGTGGCAGAGGATATGCCCAGCTGCTCCACTGGCAGAAACAGATGATAAAAAAATAAACATCTACTGTGAAAGCAGGCTTAATATCAGGAGGAATCTTTTTGCTGTTTGAATCTGACTGCTCCCTAATACAAGCCAGAGGACTTTTCCACATTAATACCTCTTAGGGTGAAATATTGGTTACCCAACTGCTGGCAAGATACCCAGTCCAGATTTGGAAGTTTCCAGTTATGGACAGTTCTCCACAGCCCTCTGTGACGTATATCAAATGACACCTACCCACGTTGTTTAAACACCTACCTAACATCTGCCCTATATTTGTATCTTTCAGGTTTTTATCTTACTGCAGCCGCCTCTGCTGGATCAAAGGCATCTCCTTTGCCATGTTTTTGTTTCTGATGTAGACAGACTGGCATCAGATTTTACCTGCTTGTACTTAAACAGAATACTTTGGGCTCCTTCACTTCTTTATCCCAAGGGCTCTGACCCAGCCACAGCAACAGTGCTGCTTAGGGGCTTGTCCCCCCATTGCCCATTCCCGCTTCTCAGCTCAGGAGCAAGAGAAGACTGAACTTCTTCCTTATATCTAACCTGAACTTCCCCTGTTTAAGTTTAAACCCATTGCCCCTTGAAAATGGGGGTTATATTTCCCTTTTCCCAGTCACCAGGAACTTCACCTGACTGCCATGATTTTTCAAATATGATGGACAGTGTCTTAGCAACTTCATTCACCAGTTCCTTCAGGACCTGCAGTTGGATTTCAGAACAAACTACCAAAATCTTATATATGTGGGAAGACCAGGACCATACTGCCAAATCTAAAAACGCTCAACTTTTTTCTAGCATCTGTTAAAAAATTTCCCCAGCACTGTGTAGGCTACAAATTATGATAACTGTGTTTCTTAGTTTCCTGTTGAAGAGATGACTCAGATACTAGGTAGAAGCTTAATTATTGGTCACATGCATTCTTTCAAATGTAAATGTTCAACAGAGCTCTTCAGAGTTGTTAAAACATTATTCAGTGTATTCAAATTTGTACCTAAATACTTCTTGAATACACAGTCAGTTTCTTAGATGCTATGAAATTTGAGAACCCATAATCCTGCTTTTTCCATGTTTATGGAGAAGGCTTTGTCTGCCTTGATGCATGGTTAATTATATGTCTTTACTTACACAGCTTTCCCATAGATAACAGTGTCACCTTATATTGCTGCTCATTTTGCTTGAATGAAGAGTACACACTGAGCCCTTATATTTGTCAAAATTATTTGTGAAGATTTGGGTTGTTTTCCCAGCACAATCAGAAAATTTTGCTGTGTTTTCTAATTCCACCTCCAGGGAAGTCATCCTTTGCTTTAAATTCACTGTATATGCTATATTTTTAAGGTTTGACAGCACTACATAATGCTAAATTGGCATGGTTTGAACCATCATTCATTTTGACATCATTTGGTTGCTTTTTGTAATGTCTTTGCAGTGGTCAAAAGACATTCAAAATGAGAAAGGCTAGCACTAATATAGCTGTTGTAATGGAGGGTGAGCTCAGTGTTCCTGCTGCAGTTGTTTCTCATCTAGGCAAGTCTTTTAAATCAGTCAACTTCTTTTTCATCTGTGGTTTCATTTCTTCATTCTCATGTATGTGGGCCAAATCATTGTCTTCTTTTTAGTTCCAGCATTGCAGGGGAATGTTAAATTCACCCAGTAAGCTGTGCTTGTTTAATCTCTTCTTATAAATGTTAATACTCTTTCCTTTTCCAGCTTTGGTTTGTTATGTTTAAAATTGGAACATGGGAATCAGGATTAGGTGATACTACAAAACACGTATCCATGTAATAAAATTGATGTTCAGGACAGTAATAAGGATCTTCAGATGACATTTAAACCAGTTGGAAGTAACCTTTTACAGGAAAATTCTGCCATTTTTTTCTACTTGATAACAAAAAGACACTGTTTCAGCCTTCTCTCTCATTTTAGGCTGGGAATGGAGTGCATAGGTTGGATGCCAGCAGTGGGACATCCTACCAAAACAAAGAACCCTTGGCACTGTTGTCTGATCAATGACTTCAAAGTGCAGGAGCTGTTAAATTGGAAACAAGTGCTGCAAAATGTCAAGTGAGGTGCTTGAAAGCAGCAGTGGGATGGAGGAGACCATGCAGAAAGAGAGCAAGTCTGGAAGCCAAAGTCCTCGCTGCAGCTCCATGAGAAGGGCTGTGGCAAGCACTGTCACTTTTGATGGGGAAGCCACTATGGACCGGAGGAAAAAGAAGAAGAAAGAGTCCCGTCCTGAGTCAATAATAGTGTATCGGTCAGAGAATGAGAATAAGGTGGAAGAAGAACAGGCAGATGAAGAAGGAGGGGAGAAGGGCTCTGAGGAAGGCTCCAAGTTCCTGGGTCAGTCCACGGCAGATGGTATGTATTCCTGGGAGCACCAACTTTTCTGTAAACTTTTTGATGCCAGCATGCAGTAAGGTCAAATGGGAGTGACTGTGAGACCAAACCTCTTACCCCCAAGTCTGCAGGCAAGGACAGCTTAAGTTCATACATGAAAATGTTCTGAAATAAAAACCATTACAGGATGAGCTGGGTTGTCTCCTGCAGTTCATTGCAGAGGTTGGTTGTTGCTGCACTCTTAGTTTTAAATGTATGTGCTAATTGGAGTTGATCCAGAAAAATGCTGTAAGAGTGTGCTTTAAGCCAGTGATGCTGTGACCCAGGCCCTCTCCACGCCTGAAACAACTGCCTGTTAAGTGAAAGGATGCAAGCAGATGGATTTAGTGGCTCTACCCATGATAGGGAGTTTTACTCATTATCTAGGATTTGCTGTTGCCTTCTGTTTGCATATTCTCAGCACAGCTTCCTCATTAAGAGTGATTATTTGCAAGGTCATTGTAGGGCATGTTGGAGCAACTTTCACTTCTGGTGTCTGTCCTGGATCCCCTCGTAGGGAAGAAGTGTGGGAGGCAGGTCCTATGGCTAATCCTCTTGTGAAACAGCAGTGCAGGCTGAGAGGGGTGTAAATGTGAATACATACTCTGGATCCGTCAGCTGCACCAGACTCTCCCATGATCCTTGCCTCTATCCTCAGGACTTATCTGCTGCCTTCTTAATTTTGTGGGCCACTTCAAACTGCTCAACCTCCTTTTAATAGCCTCTGAAGACCTCCTCCCGAGCTAGTCAGATTTAAGACCAAGAGGAAGCATATTTTAGCCCCATAAAAGAGTTTATGGCTAGTGCTACTGCAGGGACCATCCTAAACCAGTGTCACTTGGAAGCCAAGGCAGTCTGTGACTTTTAGCACACATCCCAACACTTACCTTTTTGGTATCTTTGTTGGTGCCTTAAAATGTAAATATAACTGTATGAGAATTTTTAAGTTTTTTCTAGACTTTGAAAATCATTTTGGATTGAGACACAATGCAGAAGTAAAGTGAAAAATTAGCTATTCTATTACATAGCTATATACTATAGCTATATAATATAACTCCATGTGTGGATGTGCTTGTTCCAGAACAGGAGTTTTAATCATATTTATCTAATTCACCCCAAGTGTCCACACTGTTCAGTAATAAATGTATGAGGATACCAGAGAAAATAGGCATACCATTTTTGATTCATTCACTCTATCTCATCTCTTTCTCATATACTCCTGCAGTACTTTCCCTTCACACATTTTCCCTAGTGCAGATGCTGGAGTCTTCTCTCTTGTGGTTTCTGTATTCTGGAATTTTGTCTTCTCCCTCATTAGCTCTTCTTCCATTTTCTTCTATGATAATCTTCTCTATACTGCATTACTTCTTGCATTCCATCTTTTTAAAAACTATTACTCTCTATGCATTATCTAATTGTCTTTGGGGTCGTTGGGGATTTACACAATAAATCTAATGTAGATGAGTTTATATGTGTTTGTAGGTGTCTGGAACATGCCTTTAGACAGCCGATATGTGACCTTGACTGGAACAATCACCAGAGGAAAGAAGAAGGGTCAGATGGTGGACATCCATGTCACACTAACGGACAAAGAGCTGCAGGAACTCGCTAAGTCAAAGGAGCCTCCTAAAGAGGGTGTACCTGAGAAGAAGAAGAAATGTGATGTTGGGCTAGACAGAGGACCCCACATCATCCTCTGGACCATCATTTGTCTCCCCATCATTTTTGTAGTGTCCTTTGTGGTTTCATTCTACTATGGAACCATTACATGGTATAACATCTTCTTGGTGTACAATGAAGAGAGGACCTTCTGGCACAAAATCACCTTTTGTCCCTTTCTGATCATCTTCTACCCAATTATAATTATGGTTGTGTCTTTTTCCCTAGGCCTGTACTCGGCTGTGGCCCAGGTAGCGTGGTCCTTTGGGTACTGGTGGCATGCTGTCAGGGATATGGAGAAGGGCTTCTGTGGCTGGCTCTGCAGCAAGCTGGGTTTGGAAGACTGTTCTCCATACAGCATTGTCGAGCTGCTAGATTCTGATAATATCTCAGGTAGTCTCTCTGGCAAGAGCTCTGCACAGGGGGTTGAGACCTCAGCAGTCTGAGCCTTTGTCCTGGCTGACTATTTTAGTCATATGTAAGTGGTTTTCATCTAAAAAACAACACACTGAATTTCTATATATATATACTTAAACACAGACTTAATGAAAAAAATAGTGGGCTGGGAGTGCTCTTTAGATGTCACAGAATACAAGTGTGCTAGTTTCACATGGTCTGGGTGGGGAGGTGCATGACTCTAAGGATTTGCCATCTGTTTTAGCTAATTACAACTTCTAGGAATGGTGAGGAAATCCAGGTCTGTGGTGCTCACGCTGTTTGTAGCACAGCAGAGAGACATGCTGAAAAATTCACTTCTGTAAAGTTAGACTTTCTTTTTCAGGAGTAGGACATAACAGTGACCCACTGACCCCGTGAAAAAAAGTCCATACTCAGGAGATGAACTTCAGGAGATAAGAACCCATTCAGAGGTGAAGGCTAAATTGCAGATCATGTGATGTTCCTACAGTTTTCCTAAAAATAGCCCTTTTCCAGTCCTTCCAACAAGTGCAGCAAACATTCCAGGTAGCTAACTGTTTAGATGCTGTCAGAGCACAAAAAGACCTGGTCTTTCTCTGAGAGAGGATAGCACAGCTTCCAAGAAAGGCACGTGAACTCTACACTGAAACGCACCCATCACGTGATGGAAAGACTTGCTTTGTAATGTGGTGCATGGGGACCTGACGGGCCTGTCACCAAGCACCCCCAGGTGCACAAATAGGTGCTTAGGACACACCTACATTTGATTCTTGATAGGTGCACTGCTAGGGAAGAATAGTCTATGAGAGTTGTATGCAGGGTGCAGTGTCAACGGTTGCATTTATAGGGAAGAAACACCTGCTCTGAGGAAACATAATCAGTTTCCATATTACTGCAATGCAGGTGGCAGCACCTATATTTAGGTAGGTGGGGTTAGAATCATAAAATCAGCTAGATTGGAAAAGACCTTTAAGATTATCAAGTCAAACCATTACCCCAGAACTGCCAAGACTACCACTAAACCATATCAAATGTTGAAGATGCTTGGGATGGGAAGGTCTCACTGAAACAGTTGTTCTCTTTTTGAAGTTGCTCTTATGAAAGAGCTGATGGACCTTCCCTTTCAGAACAGGGACATCTGTGAGCCCATGTCTGTTAGTGCCAGTGCAAACGCATTAGTGCCTCAGCTCTGGAAGTCTGCATCCCCCACACACTTCCTGGGTAATTATGTGGAAGAGCAGTGGATTATACATCCTCCGCCCCTCGTGTCTCATTTTTATAATTGGTTTCCCTCCTTTGGGACTTTGCATGGTGTCTGAGTGGGCTCCCAGACCACGCTGAGGTGGCCACCATAGACTGGAGAAATTTTAATTGTCTCTTTAAAAAGATGACTAGCAGAAAAGTTCATTTTCTGTTTGGGTCTTAGGAGGACTAGAAGAAAATGAGAGAGGTGTAATAGATTCTAATGGAGACTGAATTACACATCTGAAACATGATTAATTTTCTGAGTGCTCCAGTTCAGCTGGTGCTGCTAAAAGGTCTGGTTCGGCCCCAACCCAGAGGAGCCCAACATTTGCATGTGTGTAGGTAGATCATTCGTAGTGTGCAGTCAGGCTGCACAGTCATTCATATCTGTCCAGGTGTTTCACTTCCCCAGTCTCCCTACCAGAGGTGGAGCTGCTTTAGTTTTAGAATGGTAGAGAAACATTCAGAAGCTGGGTTTCACAGAAACTAATGTTTTGTGTTGTATTCCAAGGATGAGCTCAAGACTGACTGTCCTGGTTAGGACATTTGGGAACTGGTGATGTATAAACAAGTCTGCTGATCATCTAGGCCTGACACATAAATAAGTGAAGTCCCTGCTGCATCTTTGGTCTGTCCCCTTCCGGGAGATCCAGCGAAAGCAGGCTCTTAGCGCTGTCTCAAGAATTAGCAGTATGAATAGTTACAACCAATAGTGAATAGCTAAATATCAAAAGCAGGTTTGGCCCCACACTTTACTGGCAAAGCAGATGTGCTCCCTGGGGACGGGAACAGCCAGGCTGTGTTTGCTGCCTGCTGATACACAGCTTCCAGTTTTTACTGGCTAAATCTTTAAAGGCAATGACCAACTTTCAGAAAACCAAATCAAAACAAAACATAAAACCCCAATATAAAATAGACCCCAACTTAGTGGCAGGTAATTCAGTGGGGTTCAAAGAAGCTGACTTATGCCTGGGACCAGTTCAAGCAGTGAAATCCTTTTCACATGGCTGTTTCAATCAGGCTTGATATGCCTCTGAATTAATAGAGAAGCTGAGGATCAGTCATGCCTGTGCTAGCAGTTTGTAGTGACCCAGCACAGCCACTCTACTTCTTCCACATGAAAATCACAGGCTCTCACATGGCCAGAGGGTGGGAAGAAGTGATGCTTAACAAGCATTAATGGGAAGGCAGGCCTGTTGGCAAGTGTTCTCAGGCTTTGCCTAGAGGTACACTGCAGGCATGAAAGGACTGCATTGTGTATCTTGACCCCAACATGCAGCAAACAAGTGGGTTTGGGGAAAGGATGACTGGCAAATGTGCATTGCTGCAGAGGGAGAAAACCCAATTCAGCTGTCACTGCCAAAGAGCAGCTGTTCAAGGCTAGACGAAAGGCTGGGGTCAGAGCACAGAGTCTTCACCTTACAGAGGGCTTGAATGATAAATACTAGCTCATTACAGAATACAGCCATGTGAAATGTTGGCTGAGCTGCAGGATTTGCTTTTAGGATTGCAAGCAGCCTGCCAGAGTGGAGACAAAACCAAATCTGTGCCTCTTACTGCTACGTAGACACAAAAGACTGTCAGAGAAGTCGTAGTACCCTCCCTCTGCCGTGGCAGCTACACTTCTGGGGTTGGAGGCCACCTTTTTGGGGATATACTGGAACAATCCATTGTGTGTCTTCTACTTCTTTACACTTAACCGAGCTTGCCTCTGCTCCTGATGATGTCAAGGTATTCTGACATTGATTTTGGTTGGGGCTAGTTTAAGCTTGGGGTTGGTTCTGGTGCTATTTGTAAAAGTTTTATTCCAGCTCTTCTCAAAACAACTCTGGATAGTTTTGTTTTCTCTCTTGCCCATTATCCCCTGAAGTGGTTTGTCTGCTGCAAGATATATAATCATTATCAGTTGTTGTAATAGAAAAAAGCACAAGTTTTTGTCTTGTTCTGCCCTTGCTTTCAGAAACTCGCAAGTAATTTTTGCTTATGTGCCACTGTCAAACTGCAGGGAATTCCAGTTATTCTGATGTTGAGTATGTTCCTGGCTGTGCTCTAGTCTGGATGGTTTTGGGTTGTTTTTTTTTAAGTAAAGGTAGTGTGTGTTTGCTGATTGTTATTTTTAATTGCATTCTCTTTTCCCATCCTTGCTGGCCTGGGTGGAGAATAAAGATGTACATGGCTTTAGAAGAATGTTGTTTTCGTGCTTCTGCTTGATTTTGTGTTAAAAACAGTGCTGTGGGATGGACAGTCATCTCATACTGGTAACTGATTAAAAGTCATTAACTTTCAAGACCCACTTTAAAGTGTGGCTGAAATTGATCTCAGTTTTATTAACCTTTGCCTGTCCAGAGCTGCCATATCTCTTGGCTCTGGGTTATTCTTTGGTTTTACTTAAGAGAACACAAATGAAAACTTTTTAATTTAATTTCACTCGTGAGTATCTGTTTGGCTTTAGCTCCAAGGATCTGTAGAGAGGGACACAGTTCTATATCAAAATAGGAAGTATATATTTAACTCTACAAATATGGTCTGTGTGTCTGTGACTTGGAGATGCTATTTACAGCTGTGCTGGGAAGATTTCTTATAACCTGTTAGTACTCCAGAGATGTCTCTGATGAGTCAAAGGAGAATCACTTTTAGAGTCCTCCAACTAGTAGTGCCATGTCCAGCACAACAGTTGGAAATACCAGCTGCTTACTGTGTGATGCCTGCTGCCAACATTGCCAAGGGAACAGGATTCCATGCATGGGACTTCCACCTCCAGTGGAGAACCCAGTGAAGGATACCCAACTTGCTGGTATGGCAGGGTGGGATGGAGGAAGTGGACCCAGAGAATTAGCTAATAAGCCTTTCCAGTCTCACCTTTGAGGTACAAGGTAATAATTTTATAAGATAATGGTTGGCAGTGGGAAAGACTGCTATTGAAGACCTTTGCATCAGGCAAAATACACCTGTATGATTGTATCAAGTATTTCACCAGCAGGCTAATTCTGCCTGCTGACTTACCCATCCCATTCAGTTTCTCCAAGAGCTGAAACAATGAACAGTGTGAACTGTGCTTCAGGCTAGTGCTTTAATTCTGAGGCTGGGATCCTGCAATTTGTCACTCTGAGATTAACAGCAGGGGCTGCTCTGTGGATCTGTGTGGCCAACTCCATGGATGCCTTTTCGAAGCTGCAGCAATAGTTAAGAAAAACCACTACAGTCTGCTCTTGCACACTGAAGCCTGCAATTATGCTAGCATTAAAGAGAAAAAAAAGGATGCACAAGCCCACATTCCTGCACTGTGATGGACACAATTTTGCTCAAAGCTTATGCAAGCCCCTTTTGACACAGGCAGTGAATTAATCTGTTGGACCAATGCCATTCCTGCTTCTTTCTAAAGAGTTTTCAGTGTGGTATAAGACAGTGATATTAAGGCAGATTCATTTCTGAACAGATTAGTCCATCCAAATTTATTCCCTATATGGAAATGGGAACTCAGAGAAAGGTTGAAGCAAAAGTGGGGGCTAATCCACTTAGAAATGTAACTTTTCAATTAATTTGGCAAATTAGAAGGGACATCAAGTTTGCTTGCCTTCCCTACTAGAGGATAATTTCTCTTCTGACAGGCAACCATTTAAAGATAAGGGAGAGCCTGTGATTATGTGTTTGATTAGGGTAAATTGCCAGGGGGCTGAAAAAGCCCCTGGGCATCCTTTCACATAAACAGGTGTGATGTGACTGCATGTGAACAAGCAACCCAGAGAATGAGGAGTGAGGGGCTCTAATGGGTCCCCCTTAGTCACCCAGTTCCATTACTTTCAGTCTTCCTAATTTCTTATCATTAGCACAGTAGCTGAAGTCTGTCAAAATGCATTAAAATGAGGAGAACATCTGAGCCAGGCCAACAATACATTTGCCCCTGTGTTAAAAAAACGCTCTTGCTTTTAGTGTGGTAAAACATAAAACCTTCCGCCAGAAATAGAGCAGTTAAAATCCGTTGTGGCTTGCTTCCATTGAAATCAGGTATGCCATGGATGAATTTGACCTGGAGCCCTCTGAGATACAAAGATGCTGCTCAAATGTGACCTCCCTGTCTTAGGGCTCCTTTTCCCAACCGTTTCTTCCAGGTGGAAATTTAACTTCACAAGATAAAGAAGAATGACTATTGAATGTGGTAGTATGTTCTGCCTGGCAAATAGGATAAAACCACCTCCCAGGCAATATGTTCCCTCAGGGCTTGGTTTATTACAAGTTCCTCCATCAGTTTATTAAGACCAATACAGTTCAAGGTGCCTTTTGACTATCTTCATGTGTACATCAAATTCTTTCTGCTCCTGCAGTGGTAAGGTAAATGAATCAAATATTTCTATTACAAAAATAACAGCAAACTAGCTTATTATGACATAGCACATACCTTAATTTATTCAAGCCCCGTTATCTGAATCACCTGCAGTTGAGATCCTGACAACCCCAAATATAAGCAAGCTGAATGGCTTTTACAGTGTCAATGCCGAGCATGAATCCAGCAACTCCTGGGGTAGTTGGCTTAAAGAGAGCATGCCTTTTATTCAATCTTTCTTTCTAAAATACATTACCTGTCCTAAACTACAAAAGTGTCAGCCTCTAATGTCTTTCACTATAATGTATTTAAATAATTTGTAGCGAGCCACTCTTTGTAACTACAGGCAGTTATTAGAATATCCTTCCATCATAATGGAGATTTTTGTTAACACTTTAACCATGTAGAAGTCGCATACTGAATTAATAAATACAAGCGATTTTAACCTCCATTAATTTATCCAAATGAGCTCCCCTCTGACTTCACAAATGAGCAGAAATAATTCTTAGTAACTGCATGTAGTAAAAAAAAAAAGTTAAATATTTAATATAGCAAGCAGTATCATCCCAAGGCACATGTAGTGTCATTGCTAAATGACATCTGTGGTCATTAGTAATACTACTACTCATCTACAATGCAATTACACACTGCTGAAGTGATGAACTCTAATATGGAAACATCTATAAGGCAAGTTTCATGTGGTGGTGGTGACCTCAGCCATCCACACAGTAACAGCAGGATTGCTCTGACTCTCCAGTTGCACCCTAAAATCAAGTCTCTTTTGATGGTTAAATTTGCCATTTATTTCAATTGAAGGTTCTAAAAATCTGAATGTCTGCCTAGTACAAAAGACCTGCAGAAATCAGCAGTTGTCAATCTTGATGTCTTCCTTCCCTCCAAGGAATTCCTGACAAAAATAACTGACAAAGAAAACCTGAAATTATTCTTCCCCTGCCTCTACATCTAACATTGTCATATGTCTGCTAGTGTCATAGGTTAGCATCAATTTGTACAAAGAAACGCACTTAATCCCTTTCTCTTCCCCCTGAAATAGCAGCTCCTGACTTCACACTGCTGCTGGTCCTGCAAAGCTGCACAAAATGGGAACCTGCAGGAATTAAAAGCTTTAAAACATGATCTCCCATCCTCCATGTTGCAACGCTCTGTTTTTAAAATGCATTAAGGCTGATATTTCTCTAAAAATCAAAATTTCTGTCCTTTCAGTCTGATTTCAATTTGCTTTCAGGTGCAGGCAAACAAATAGGGATTTAAAATATCATCTTCTCTCCCAGTTCAGAAAGAGCCTTGTTTGGCAGCTGAAGACTCTCCCCCTATCACCTCCTGCAGTCTGGTTGGATAGATAAGTAACAACATCCTGTGCTGTGAGGATTAAACTGGACTATTAGACAGCATGTGTGTGTATACATTTGTATACATGCATGGTGCTGGTGGCGGGAGGACACTAAATGCTTATCCTTGTGCATCCACAAAACAAATCCTTCACACAGTGAGTTATCCTAGCTGGCTTGTCCAGAACAATCCCACTGCATGAAACTGCTTTCCAGAGATGCTGAAAACACAGCTGGATTGCTAATGGCTGCAAACAAAGCCTTACTGCACAGGGAGAGGTGAGTTAGAAAGATTGTGAAATGAAGAGCATGTGGAGAACAAGATGGATGAGATTCTGCTTCTGAAACAGCAGAAACCTGAAACAGCAGCCAATACAAGATTTGGAAAATGTTATTTTGCTGTGTCCTATAATGCAGCTTGCTCTTCCCCCCCCCCCCCCCCCCCCCCCCCCCCAGTTTCTAAGGTGCTGTTTCATTTTATTGACATCTACTTTGTACTTGTTACTTCTTCCTAAAATACTGGCTTTAACTTCTTTAAAACACTTCACTGGGCTGTTGCTTTCCCCAAAGCAAGCATATCTGACACAAGCTCTCTGCTCCTCTCCAGGAACCCAGATGCTCTGGAGTTCAGTTAGGCCAAACTATTTGTATTAATTTTAAAGAAAATCAGACCTTATGCTGCTGACAGTCCTCTAATATGTAATAAAGAAATCATTTGTTGTAATGGATTTAACAGCTAATCCATTGAAATCTGCCAGAGTTATTTCAAGAATAGAGACATGTGTCAGGTTTTCAGTTACTTAGCAGAGGGAAATATTTCACCTCTCGTGATACCAGGCTTGAGTGGTCCTCACATCACCTCCATTATTTTTTTTTTTCTCTAATCCACGGATTTAGAACTCATGAACACATCATCCTAAGCAGAAAGCCAGATGAATACATGTTAGATGTACGAAGAAATTTTCAGATCTACCCTCCCAGAAAAATGCAATGTAAAAGTATATATAAATTCTGAGTTTTGTCTTAATTTATTGTGAAATTCATCTGCAGAAGTGGTGCTTGCTGGGTGCTCGCTACCCATTTCTGCAGGTTGCAGTGCTTGCTGTGCCTAGGTGACTGGGATCATGTTGCCCTCCAGTGGCTGAAACTGAAAAACTGGGAATAAAGCACACTTTAATTCTTCCTATGTGCGTCCAAAGAAGTCTATATAGCATAAAAGAGCAACGGCTAATACCAAGAACTTACATTATGCCAACTTTTAATATATTAATATAAAGTTAATCCCTCCTTCCCTGTTCCTTATAGGAATGCAATCTGAATTAATCTTCAATCGCAGGAGTTCATGCTGTTCTTTCTCTGGCATGCCAGGTTTGTATAGTGGGGTGTAGGAAAGAAGTTAATAAGAAGCCAATCCAGCATTTTGTTTTGCCCTTATGTTTCAAAGTGTGGCCCTAACCCTCCCTTGCACAGACTGTGCAAAGCAATCTCTCAGTAACATGTCACTGTAGCATATAAGTAGTTAACATACTTTTTTTTTTCCAATAGCATGTAACATAAATGCTGATATATTTACATGTGGCAACAAAGGCACAAGGATTTTAAAGAGTAGAAATGTCTATGAAGTCTCAATGCACCTCTGAGATGCCTTGCTGCTGGGTTTTTTTTCAGAACATTTAGCATAAGGTATTTTCTGCGTTGAAAGTGAAGCTCCTTTCCTGGACACTTGTGAGTGCTCAGTACTTACACATATTTGACTATCTCAAACTGAGCACTGGGGAAACGTAACTCACATAGCCAGCACCTACTGGTTAGAGGTTTGGGTTCTGATTTGTAAATGAGAATGCAGGCAATCTGCTGAACAAAACCAGAGAATTTACTTCTTAAAATGTCATTCAGTTAGTATAACCATAAGAATTTCCTCCTTTGCTGTCTCCCAATTTTTGTAAGAAATGAAGCAAAATTCTTATGACTCCTTTAGTGCACAGCCCCAATTTTATGCCAATACATATTGAAAAGACTATAGAAAAAAAGTTCCTGCTCCTGTAGTTGAACCTGTATCATAACACATAGACACAAAGTACTTGCCTAAGACTGCACAAGAAACTTCAGTATCAGAATGTCCTTCATTTTGGAGTTGGACTTCTGCAACTTTAATGTTCTCTTTACTTCTTAAAGAAAAATACAGTAAAGAAATAAGATGAAATTCCTTTATTATACTCCTCCAGATAACTACACGAGTTTCAGCTGGGCTAAAACCTTTGGATCCAGCAACAAAATTAACACCAGCAGCAGAATGTGATTTGAGTTAAACCAGGATAAGTCAGTGTGCTTAACCAATGGAGATTTTTTAAAATCAGGTGAATTTAATCCAAGGCAACTATAAAACTGTCTAGAGCAATCTCAAGCATTAGTGATTTTCCTTGAAAAGATAGGTGAGATTGTAAATACACTTTTAACGAGGGAATGAAGAAGTGTAAAGATGTTGGGGAGGTATAGACTACTTGTGCTGTAGCTGCTGGAAGCTATTGTAACAAACTATTTATTAGTGCTCAGAAGATAGAAAGTAAAAGGAAAAACAGGGTTTTTAAAAAAAAACCAAAAGGTGTCAAGTCAACATTTTTCTTTTTTTTTTGTGAGAAAAAGGCTTTCTATATAGAAATTATTTAACTTTATTTTAATAAGTTTTTGATGCGGTTTTAAATGACATTCTCATAAGCAAGCTAGGAAGCTGTTGTATATTTTAGCCTATGATAAAATGATTGCAAAACCAGCTAGAATGTTATATACAGAGCTGCATCTAGTGGTCATTTTTGGGGTGGCTATATTTGTGGGGTGGCTATCTCAGGCTGAGCACTATTCCTTCATAACTTGGTTGAAGACAAAATATATCTATGAAAACTGGAAATTACACCAAACTAAGAGGGATGGCAAGTGCAATGTCTGAAAAGGTTAGAACTTAAAAAAAAAAAAAATCATTGCAAGTTTCATAGATGGTGTGAAAGAGGAAAAAGCCTATGATGCAACTTGTTAGACAAATGTGTCATTCTGTTCAGCAGGAAAAACAGCAGGCAGAAGAACAACTGGATGGGCAACAATTCTTTCTGCAGGACAGTATGTGTATGCAACAGAAAAATGATCCTCAAGGTGACTTCATTATAGAGTGAAAAAGGTAAATAACACATTGGGAAAAAGGGTTGTAAACAGAGTTGTCTTGTGACTTCATGTCTTCTCTCTCTATGGTACTTAATAAGGCTGCTGCTGTTGTATTGCAGCCAGTGGAAGTTTTACTCTGCCTGAGAAATGTGCATTAATTGCATACTCTGGAGAAGTGAAAGGGACCAGTCAGAAGAGAAGGTTATAAATTCAGCAGCTGAAGTGGAGGGCAGTGAGAAGGAAAAGTGATGGTGATACTGTCTTTTGGAAGAGGAAATACGAACACAGGAGTTTTGCAGCTCTGTGCAGATGCATGTATGGAGCCACTTCTGAAGTGTTCCCTGCCTCCTCTGCAGTGGTGTAGGACTAGTTCTGGGTGTGCTGCTTTGAAGTAGATTGTATGTCAGCTGTGATGCACCAATTTATCACAGTCAGGAGCCCCTGAGCTAGAATGTGTCTGCCATAACACACCACAAGCCAATACACTTTTTTTTGCTCATTACCTCTCATTAGTATGCTTTTCAACTGTATTTGCAGGGAAGGTAAGATGGTGTGGTATAATCCCTCCTATTTAGCTTTCTGATTTTCCTACCACAGTAGTTTCCTTATTTCCTAGCAGACTCACTTCCTTCCGCTGCACGATGTAAACCAAAAATGGACAGAGCAGGTAGACCAACAGATGGAACTGTTAAATCCCCAGAAGGCTTTTAAAATTATTTTTCAGTTCATTAGAGGTCCAGAATCGTAATTTGCCAAGTGTTCATGAGTCATAGATGGCCAAAGGACAAGCTCTGTGGACTTAAAGCTCCAGTTTTGCTTTAGAGACTGAAGCCTGGGTTTGACATCTTTTCCCTGCAGATGTATTCCACATAAGCAACTAAGCAAAGACTGTGTTAGGTTTATATCTCTTGGGAAGGACCATCAGCAATCACTAAATAGACCTAATAAATACTAGGGCTGGTCTGCACCACAGATTTAAGCTTTCAAGCAGGTGTTTGGAAACACCTCTTGGGAGAAGACAACTGTGCACACCTCATGAAGCTCAACACAGGAAGACACTAACAGCTGTGCTTCTAAGTCTGCTTTGCTCTAGGTGCCAATTTTCTGTCTACTTTGTCTTCCAGCTTGCTGCCAAGCTTGTACTGGTAGAAATACAAAGCTGATTGGTGTCACAGTGTCCTTGCCCTGCTTTGATTATTTCTGTAGGAAACTCAGTTAATAACTCCTCTGTTTGCAATTAGTTCCTACTTCTACATATAAACACAGGTGAATAATAGGTAATGATTGAGAAATTAACTCTTCTGTGGACAGTTCTGCTCCATGTATCTATTTCAATAAAACTATTGGGCAAGATCCCAGATGGCAATGGTGTTTTTCCTCTTTCCACCAGGCATTTATCCAAAATTTTACCCTGTAGGCAATTGCTCCAGGAGGGAGAAAGGCCAAGTCATCTTTCTACTGTCACATCGAAGCCATTTGCATTTGCTCAGAGCAGCCATACGCGGCTGGGTCTCAGCTGCAACTCTCTGGGAAACACATTCCTTCTTGTAATAAAACGGGGAAGCCGTTTTTGTTACTGCCTTGCGAAGGCATGGAGTTAAGCACAAGGCAGGCCCCTAATTGCTATTTTCCAAGAGCATGCTTATTTAATCCAGGCTTAGTTTTCTGAGGGGAAGACAAATAACCAAAAAAGGAGTAACGGAACCTCAACTGGGACTGAGGTCTCAGTCACTTTGTTGCAAATGAGATTACAGCTGATCACCCTTGATGCTGAGTCCTCTGAGATGTCACATATTTATTATTTATGTATTTGACATTCTGCAAAATGGAAATGGCCAATTAATCACAAGCATCTTTTGGCAAGCATTTACAAGCAAAGATTGTCAAATTTTACTCCCAGCTATCGAAGTGCCAGTTTCCCCCAGTGGAGTTGATTAGTTGAATCTGATGACTATAGGGGAGCTCTGTGGAGAGCTGTGAAGGGAAAAGAAATGGGGGTTAAACTTTCAGAAATTATTAGCCAGTTTTCCTTTGAATGGTGGAAATTGCTCCGAGGAAATCTGGCAGCATGAAGGTGCAAAGGGGGAATGTTTTGTTTTATTGTTTGTGTATTTTGTGATAAGAGTGCTAAGACCTCATTTATGCCAGACCACGAGCTAATGGATAGGAAGATCACACATGGAGTTTCATGATTACAGGTGTCTTTAGTTTTACTCAGAGTTCGTAAGGGAACAGGGCTCCACACCTGGGCTGGGTATGCCAATCTTCCTGCAAAGCCAAGTGCATGCCCAGATTAGCTCCTCGGAGTAATATTTGCAATTACAGCTTCAGTTATGAGAGTCTGGCCCAAACCCTGGGATTCAGCTTTTATGTGAAATCTAGGATTCAGGGAGGACTATGAAGGGTTTTACTTCCCAGCCCTGGCTTAAAAATAGTGTTCATTGTTTACAGTGCCTTGCAAAATGCTTTTCTGCTGGTGTGAGAAAAACCTTTGCTGATGAAGTTGATCAATTTTTGTTTCTCTGTTTTTCACATTTGTATGTGTGTGCATGCACATCTTTTGTCTCATGCCTAGACTGCAAGATATGTCAGAAATCAGTTGGGGTGGCGGACTGCCTGATTGCTAGCTCAATGGGAGGCTTTAGGTATGTGGCAAGCACTCCTAGGGACAGAGGTAACATCAGGAACAATAATAATAAGCAGACCTGATTTTCTTGGCTGATTAGTCTGAAATCCCCTTAGAGACATTCAGGAAGAAAATGCATGCCTTTCTCTCACAATTGCTGGCTTTTTTTTTTTTGTCTACCCATTTCCCATAAAATGTTTGTCACATTGCCAAGCTGCTCTGTTCCTTTGATATGCAAAGTGCTTTGAAGGGAAAATCCTTCGATTACCAATATTCCCAAAGCATGGCAATGTAGTAAGGAGGGGAAGTCAATTTTTGTCTTAAGACATCACTCAGTATGAAAAGGGAACGCTTGCTTTTGAGGGGTCAGTCTTCTGGTGCAAGGTTTTTGAAATGTTCATCTGAGGTTTACCCTTTTGTAGCTATACTGGTATCACCACTATGCACTGTTTCAGGAATAATTATAGATGATAATGTGGGGTTTGAGATACACTGAGAATATAAAGAACAGTAGTAATGATATTCTTAAAGGATACAACAAAGGTACTACAGAACAAGAAGTACCCAATATATGTGATGAAATATTTGCCATTCTTTATACATCTCTGCTGGTGATTTAACATCCAGCAGGAGCCAAGATACATGTGATACACAGCAGCTATTATACTTGGAATTTTTAAGGTCAGCAGGTTTCCATTTCATCAGAGCCTGGATGTAATGCTGTTCCGAAATTCTCTCTGCTGTTAATGCTGAGAGATAGCTAGTGTTGTGCCAATGTTTAATTAAAGAATCCTGTCCCACTGCTGATCCGTGGGCAGAATGTGACTTTATCCCACGGCTGATCCATGGGCAGAATGTGACTTTATCAGACACTTCCAACCCAAAGGCCTGTCCTATGGTGAAGGAAAATGGCTGCTCCCTTTTCTGCAGGACTCCTGGTTGCTGTGAAGAGGCTGGAGTAGGTGGTCCCTGTGGGGTGGGTGACTGATAGGGTCAGTCAGGAAGTGTTCAGAGGCAGGAGAGGACAGCAGGACTTTGCCTGCCCCAAAGACCTGCCCTGCTGCTGCCTCTCCTCAGGGGCCCCTGTACACCTGCACAGGGCTTGTCCTTGGCTCTGCTTCACTGCTCACCCTATGGCCAAATTCCCAGGGACAGAGGAGCCTGCGAGATGGGGCACTCTTAGGGTGATGACCTGAGGAGAAAGATGAGGGGTCATCCCACACTTCCCTTTCCTCTCACCCAGCTGTGCTGCTTCCAGCCCAGCTTCTACCCTGCGCCCCGCATCAGTCCCCGCCCAACTCGGGGCCGTGGCTGAGGCGGCAGCGTCCCGGCGAGGCCCGCCTTCGCCGCTGCTTGCCACTGGGTGGCGCTGCCCTCCCCAGCGCGGAACGCGAGGCCCCGCTGCTGTGTTCCCGGGGGGACGTGGAGCCGGCAGGGCGCGTCGCTTGCCGGAGCGCTGAGCGCAGCGCACCGCTTCCCGGAACGAGCGCGATGGCGCGCAGCAGCAAGGTGAGGGAGAGGGGTCTAATAGGATCCCGGCATCCCTTTGGCATTTCTTACCTCGCTTTGTCTCCTGTCTCCCCCCGGCTGGAGCCACCGTTGCCTGCCTGTAACGCGAGCGCTGTTTAAGCTTTGGCACTAGTCGGTGGGTGTTGGCGCGACCTCTTGGTCGCTGTGTGGGGCTTCTGAGGGCGCCGGGGGGTCCTTCCGGTACTGCTGCCTCTCTGGGAGCTGAACGTGGCCGGTCCCCTCAGGCTCACCTGGGGGAATCGGCTTTGCGGCCGTTTTGGCGGCTTGTATGTGCTGGGCTGGACAGGGCGTGGAGCAGCCTAGTTTAGTGGAAGGTGGCCCTGCACAAGGCAGACGGTGTGGAACTAGATGACCTTTAAGTCCGTTCCAGACCATTCTGTGATTCTGTGGTACCGCAGTCAGTGTGGGATTGAACCGGCCTGGTTTACGTTCAGTGAGATAACTTCGAGGTTAGTAGCAAACAGCACAACAGCCACGGCTGTAAAGCCTGGCTCTGAAACCGAGTAACTCCTGTGCCGACCCCGGGCTGCTGTGGGTACAAAAGGTGTCTAATTCAAAGGAACGTCAGTGTGTCCATCTTAGGGGCAGCTGTGATGTTGAGCACTGTGCAGCTACCACAATAGTATTATTCTGCTCTTGCTAGGATAATAGTAGAAATGGTTTTGCCCTGTTAGAAATGCAGTTTGTTTGGTATGTTTAAGGAATCCTGTTGGTGAACCATGTGTTATGATGTTTTTTGATATTCAGTATCTGTAAAGCAAAGGTTTCATCTATATGGCCTGCTAAAGTCCTGCTGTAGCCATGTCTTGTAGCTTAATTATAACTAGCTTCAGCACTGAGGTTAAAGTCAGGCTTGTTCCATTTTCACCCTTATCAGTACTTGAGCAAAACAGATGGATGTTAGCACAGGTGTGACAGTGTTGTCCCACAATAACACATGCTGTGCATCTTAAAAGCTTTGCTTAGTACACTGCACCTGAAAATGGCAGGGCTGGATGCTTAGGTGACATGCTCAGAGGTTAATAACGGAGAAGAAGACATATAGAGGATTACCAAAAGAGAGACTTGCTGTCTTTAGAAGGAGAATTCCACATACCTGAATACACACCAGGCTTGGAGTTTTGCTGCCTTCCAGAAAAGTGTGTTAGCACTTGACACTTGATCATTTTCTTCTGAAGCAAAACAGCAGCTCTTGGCTGGTTACTTTGCTGTCATCTTTCCAGCTGTGAAGAGCATTTTACCGTTTGAGACAACAGAATTAATTCAGCTGCCAGCTGTTGTGTGTCTTGAGGCAGGACAGCAATAAGCAAAGGCTCTGCAGTTGCTGGTTGAGTAATTCCTCAGGCTGGCAGGTGAGCAGTAACAAGGCTCTTGTGAGAACCTAGTGCAGCCTCAGTTAGTGTCTCTATTTTGCTCTAAGGTGCAAACCTAGCAGACTCAGAGGCATTAATTCCTAGCTCCCAGGCAAGCCACCAGCAAAAGCAGAGTGATGGATAGTGCTGAGAATGAGTGGAACGTGCTGGACATCTTGTAGAGCCCTGTTGCTCAGCCTTCTTTCTTTCTTCCTCTTGTCCTGGAAGGATGTAGGGAGTTAAAACAGTGCTTGTTAAAATGACAGGGGAGATGCACAATATAATCTGGGAAAAGGAAGAGGGTAAGAAAATAATATTGGAGCTGCTAATACAGAGGATTAGACAGCTAATCTGGGCAGATTATTCATATTCATTAAACTTGTTATTAAGAATTATCTATTTGGGTGACAAAAAGAATCGGGTTCTTTTGGTTGATGTTTAAAAAGGTACTTGGAATTACTTGACCAGCCATTTGCAAAAGAGCTTAGACCAACATCTTTTCTTTCTGTTCATCCCTTTTACTTTGCAAAAGCAGACTATGCATCTCATGTTGCTTGACAGTCTTCTGATTTGATTTATTGCTCATATCTTTTGACAGCTTCAGTTCTTAGAGAACTGAATATATTTTGTATTTTAAAACAAAGTGACTGGTTTCAGCCTAGGTAA